TTTCTTCGTGGTAGATCCCGCGATATTTTAACAGCATTGGCCCGGTAAGCCAGGTCATATATAATGACAAAATGCCATATTTGACCTTGTTTCCACCAAAGAAAAGAAGTGCGAAGCGAGGGTAAAGCCGGCGGATATGGCCAACATCTCTATATAGAATTGCTTGTTTGAACGTATAGTAGGTTTCCATATATTGGATAAACCGTTTATGGCCGCTATAAACATAATCGATAGTATCTCCGTCGTATCTGCTGCCAACTCGATACCAACTAGATCAGCATACTAAAGCTACGGCTATCAGGATCAGCACAGGCCCAAACTTTGCTATTCCGAACGGCATGATCAATAAACGTACGGACGATGAACTCAAGCTCGGTAGTTGCACTCCAATGGAGGCTCATGCTTGGAAGAAGGGCGGATGCTTATTAGGACCCCCAGGAACTCCGGCAGGATACGTCTGGGAGAGCCGATATGCGTACGTCCAGGAGTCTTGGCGTGAGCCTCCAAGAATTATAATCGATGAGCGAGGGCAGGCAGTATCAGTCCACAACAATATTATCCACAAGAACGAGTACATAGCAATCTATTCAGACGGCAGCGGCTATCAAGGCTGTATTGGAGCCTGTATGGTTATCCCCACGTTTGGAAAGTAAAGAACGGAGTGTATTGGCACGGAAAGCACATCAACTGTGTATGCAGCAGAGACCTGCGGTGTCAAATTTGCCCTAGAAACAGTGCTCCAGCTTGCGGAGCAGAACGTAGGAACCAAACCGCCAGTTATCTTCTCAGATAGCCAGGTCGTGCTTAAAGCGCGCCAGAATCCACGCATGGTGTCAGGTCAAGCGTACCTTCGCGACTGTATACGATTGCTAAGAGAATGCATGGAAGAAAACATTGACGTGATGCTACGGTGGCTTCCAGACCACGAGGGAGTTCCTGGGAATGAAGCTGCAGATAGAGCTGCCAAACGTGCAGCTCTAATGGGGGCTCGGCGTCAAATCGTACCTGGACATATCAGCCAGCATTGGATTCTGCTCGCGGCGGCTGCGAAGCGCAGAATCCGTCAATCAACCAAGGACGCATGGGAGAGGTCGTGGGATCAGCAAAAGGCTAGCAAGCTACTAAAAAGCTGATTAACAAACCTTCTAAACGCACACTTCAGTATTGGATGTTTCTTCGGAAAACGTCGTCGATCCTGATTCAGCTCCATACAAAGCGAATAGGCCTGGCCCACTATCTCTGGAGAATCAACAAGCGAGAACACCCGTACTGCGCGTGCGGGCTACCTGGCCAATCCGTGAAGCATATCCTCATGGAATGCCCACTGTACACAGATAAACGTGCGCTTATGTAGACGCGAATCAAAGGATTCCGCCGTACGATTGATTTGCAAAACTTGCTCAGCGAAAAGACGGCTGCGGTCCCAATCGCACAGTTTATCATTGATACGCGAGTGTTAGATCAATTCCGTGGGGCGGATCCGGAAGCAATGGGCACGTACTCAAGCGCAGAAACAGCGGCTCAATCAGGGCTTGTAAATGACAAGGACACTGACGTGGGAACACGTACGAATGCACACGAAGATGACGTGCGCTCCAGGTCAGCCTCGTTGTCAGTAATGACCAATATTGACACGAACACGAGCCTTGGATCGAGGGATTCGGAGCCAGCCAACGGGAATGCTACGTAGGGAACATAAGGGTCGGATTTGCGAAGGATGAGATTCGTGGGTTCTATGGGATTGTCGGAATGTGAGAAAACCGTACAGTTTGTATGTTATGAGAGTGCGAAGATGTGTGGGTGGTAAGATATGAGGATATGTGGTTTTGAAGCGAATTGGTTATTTGTTATTTGTTTGATATGTTTGCATTCGTTAGTCTTGTTTCCTTAGCTCGTCAATCTCAGCTACCACTGGCTGATTTGATACGTTAAACATCGTATTTTGTTCAGTTTGAAGAGGAAAAATGATAAATGGAAATAATTAGTCACAATATAGAATGAATGATGGTCTGTTGGAACTGATCTGACCGTAATCCCGACAAGTGATATGTAGATACTACACCGCGCTCAGACCATAGATTGGATGAAGATACTGATTAGGTCTAGGGTCCTGTATCCCCTGGTCTGGGGGCTAGTGTAGCGCTAGTGTACGCTAAGGGATCCAATATATCTAATTGGCTGAACTGACATCACCGCCCTGGTTGCCAATTTACTTCGGTGATTGTGGTCTCATACAAATTACGAGAAGAAAAGATCAAACACCAAAAACCTCAATATTGAATATAAAATATAGATTTGAAGCTATTTACATATCCTAAAGAGTATCAAATATAGAGTTAACGTGTATGGAAGTCCTGGAAGCACGATTTTCCGGATCCCGGTCGACAAAGTGGCAGGTCGCAGGCTTGACAAATAAACTTCGTGAACCCTATCCCTCCCCCTTTTTGGCGTTTGGGATTCTTATATTGACACCAAATACAGCGTTTTTGAACGTTCAAATAACTTCGTACGCAGATATGTGGTAAGGAATTATTCAATCGTAGTTCCGGTAGTTGTAGGTCCTCCGTCTTGCGCTTCCTTGAGTTCATCTGATATCCCGTACGTAGGGGTCTAAAGGTTTAAAGGATAACAGCTGTTTGCAAAGCCGCCTTCGGAATTTCACCTGAGAATATGAAGCTATTCCCAACTCTTTACAACGTAAAAAATGTAGTTTCCAGGCGTTGATAACACCAGCATCTAAACACCAGCTCCATAAAGGCCACCATGAGCGAAAGGTCTTTGTATGAGTCTCATACTCAGCTCGGTGCTGATTGGCTATATCCAACCCTCCCATATAATAATTGTAATCGTCAATAAAACGTGGAATCAGCATATTTTTGACTGCTTGATCCCCAAATTCCCGATGTACTAAAGGATCTATAATGTTTCACGTACAACTCTCCAACGCCGACTTGCCGGTATCCAATATCGAGGTGAAAAGCGCGCCAATAGTCATATATTGACTGAATATGAGGAGGAATCTCTTCTAAATGGATTCTTGACCTTGATAAACGTGGATTACCTCCCCGGCCATCTCTCGTACAAGATATGGCGGATCTGTTTCTTTCCCAGCATGGCAATAAACATGTCAGTGAAAGATGGGTCTATCGATTTGTTGACAGACATCCGGAAGTCAAACTACGGTTTTCACGAAGATATAACTACGAGAGAGCAAAATGTGAGGATGTTAAGATAATCCAAGAGCATTTTGACCGCGTACGAGACGTTATACAAGAATATGGAATCTTATCTGAAGATATATATAATTTTGATGAGACTGGCTTCGCTATGGGCCTCTGTGCTTCTGCAAAGGTTATTACGGGCAGCGATCGATATGGAAGACCTTATTTACTACAACCTGGCAATCGCGAGTGGGTTACAGCAATTGAAGCAGTTAATTCCACTGGATGGGCTTTGCCCTCATACGTTATCTTCAAAGCAACATCCTTTTATCAACAAGGCTGGTTTGAGACTCTTCCACAAGATTGGAGAATTGATATTAGTAAAAATGGCTGGACAACAGATGAGATTGGAATACGATGGCTTCAAAAACACTTTATTCCTCATACGACAAGCCGTACGAAGGGGAGATATCGGATGCTTATTCTTGATGGCCATGGAAGCCATTTAACACCTCAATTTGATCAAATATGCACTGAAAATAATATTATACCTGTTGGTTTATAGGTGCAATCGAGATTCCTGGCACCGACGCGAACCAAGGAGAGGTCACGTGAAGGTACACGTGACCTCGTCAAGCAAGGACTATATAGACCGCGTCGGGGCCTCATTAAGAGAAGAGAACAGACGATTGAATACATTTGACCATAGTACTTGGAGTACCACCTGAAGCGCGTGTACGGACGTACGTACATTGTTTTATTGGCTTTATAAGCCAACCACAATACCAGTGTGTATGCCACCTCATTCCTCGCATCTCTTACAGCCTCTTGATGTGAGTTGTTTTGCTGTTCTCAAACGACAATATGGACGCCTTGTTGAGCAACGTGTACGGCTTGGATTCAATCATATTGATAAATATGACTTCCTAACGGCTTTTCCAGAGGCTCGTACAATGGCGTATAAAGCTGAAAATATTCAGAATGGCTTCAAGGCAACTGGATTGGTGCCATTTAATCCAGATCGTGTTTATCAAAAGCTTACAGTTCAACTTCGCACTCCAACACCACCTCCCAGTCGATCAAGTAATTCACAATCTTCTTGCCAGCAAACACCTCAAAATCCACGTCAATTCAATCGTCAGACGGCAATAATAAAGAAGCGAATAAATGAGCCTACAACAGGTCCATTTGAGGTGGTTGATCAAGCGATAAACCGGCTGTCCAAAGCATACGAAATGAGCAGGAATGAGCTTCTGATTATACAGAAAGAGGTGCATGATTTACGGGCTGCAAATGAGAAGGAGAAGCAAAAACGTAAACGATCTAGAGCATAAATATCTCATCAAGGATCTCTTACAGCGCAGGAAGCCCAGGAACTAATAACTAGTCGAGGTGAGGCCTCTCAACCTCTTCCGGCTGCACCAGTCGAATCCGAACCTCAGGCCTCTCAACCACGCCTACGAGCGCCACCGAAATGCAGTGGATGTGGGATTGTCGGGCATAGAATCAATCGATGCTCAAATCGTACTACTACTTAGAAAATTGTATATATTTTGTATGTGGGTTAGAAATTCAAGCTTGAAATTCGTATAGAGTGCGTTTTTCGGAGGGAACTGGCCCGCTCGGTGTCCGATTACGTTAGTTAACGTAATCGGTAAGCGAGTTGGCCATGTAAGCGAGCTGGCCACCCGTGTTTTCCATACCAGGCTTGTCATCGATTAATCGATAAGGTGCCGATAAATAATCGTTATCGATGAGTGATAACGATAAATTATCGATGATTCATCGATGATTTCTTGGCATTACGGTCCGGGCTTCGATTCAATACAATCTAAGGATTTAACTAGTATTTCTCCTCTGCAATCCCACTCTTTTACCAGTTTTTAAGCACTCTATCCTCTCGATGTTTTCAGCTGATAGTTGAACCCTTTCCCAAGAGATTGTACGACGAGCGCCGGAGAAAGCTCGTTCTGGTTCATCGCTCATCGCAGGAATCGATAGAATGTCAATCGCCATGTATGACAATCTTGGCCAACGTTTTTGCTGTTGATCCTGACACCACCATGTCAGAGCACTCATGCGGACCTTGTATGGAGACTCAGAATTGTAATCTTCATATTTATCCTGACTTGCTGGTCGAGCAAACTTGCCCAAATCTTGAGTAATTAGGTCAAAATCATTAAGGTCTTGAGTATTCCGCTCATATGATTGTATGACCATATAATTAGGAGTCTTTGCCGATACTCCTCCCAAAGCTTCTTCACCTTCTGTAATGCAGGCTTTTGCCAGCTCTTTCTCCAGTTCACTTTATTATACTTTATTCGACGAGCAGGATGGAGAATGAGCGCTGCAGCATAGAGGGGAGATTCACCTGAATTGCTGTAGTATTTATTAAAGATATCCCACCCATTCTGAATCTAGGAACAGAATTCCCTATCTGACGCAAATTCAATCTGCCATAATTTAGAATAATTTATCATATACTGCTGGATAGTAATTCACACTTACAAGAGCTTTCTCAAAGTGTTTGATAATAATATCCATCACAAAAAGCACATTGTCAATTGTCGCTTGATCTCCTTGGGTCTTCAGGGTTGCTCGATCAAAGAGACTAAGAAATTTGCTAGTTCTGTGGAGCATCTCCCAGTCTAATGGGGACAGATACTCTGTTTTAAGCACAGCAAAGTGCCGTTTAGTATAAGTGTTAATGGCACCATCAAACTGGAGCGCCACGTGAAGCATATAGTACCAGCTATTCCACTTGGTGCGGTTATCGAGTGGAATCAACCTCCCTGCAAGATCTTTGAACTCTTTAGTTCGGTCAGCTGAACCACGAACGTGCGTCACTATGTTATGGAGTTTTCCCAGCGGGCCTATTTTATGAATAGTGGCCTGTCTCTGTAACTTGTCTTCTTCCTGTCCCTCATCTTCTGTAGTTTCTATTTCATCCCATGAACTTAGTTGCTTCATCTCTAGCATATTTTGAAATAGAAACGCTTGCATAGCCAAGTTAATAACATGGCCAATACAGAAGATGCGACGATATGTAGAGTTCCACGTAATTCCTTCTTCTTCCTGAAGATAATTTCCTAATACTCGACAAAGCTTATCATTTGTAGTGTGATTATCACAAATAATTGACCCAATCTTTTGTTGGGTACCATAGTCTTTCAGAACAGGAAGAAGAGTAGCGAACTGCTCATCTCCACTATGGTTTCCTACAGTTCGAAGAGCAAGGAGGCCTTTGCAAAGCTTTTCTTGAGTCTGCTCAACAAAGTGAGCACAGATTCCGAGAAAGAGGATCCGATTTGGTGAGGTCCAGATGTCAAGTGAAAGATGGATGCTTAATGATGCGGATTGGAGCTTTTTCTGTACGATATCCTTTTGAGCTTGCCAGGATTGTTCGATCCTTTTAGGAACTGAGGTATATGCTGTGATAATATAGCTCTCTGATTCTGGATTTAGCACTCGGCAAAGAGCATGAAATTTAGGCTATTCAACAAGGGAGAATGGAATATTTTGTGTAACGATTAATGAGACCAACGCTTCATCAATAACATCCTGGCTCAGAATCCTCTGAAAAACTTTTGTATCAATATTTTGGGTTTGACCAAATGACTGTGCTTTGATGTAAAGCTGCTGAAGCTGGTGGACTATAGTCTGTTGTAGTGTACTTGGAGCAGATTCGACGGAGATTTGATGCCTTGATTTCAGATGATTCCGCATGTTTGTAGTAACTGAAGTGCTGTATGGTGAATCTGTACAGTGGATGCAGTATTTTATGGCAGATTTTTTATGAAATTGCACTTCATTATCTCGTGCTGGTCGAGTATGGGCCCATGTCATCGAGCCTGTTAAAGTTTTCCCCCTATTTGAGTTGGCGGTATTGGACTCAGTTTTAACAGAATTAACTGTAGGGACATACAAAAGACTGGATGAATTGGTATCGGAATCCATTTTTGAGTACGATGATTACAATTCATGGGGAATTAGAAAGAGCAGTATTAACATGAAGCTTTTCATAATTATCGATAGTTGGTGAGTGGGCGGTGAGGATTCTGCCGATTATCGATGATTAATCGATCGATAATCGTTATCGTCGATAACAATTATCGTCAATAATTATCGATAGGCAACTTATCGATGACAAGCCTGTTCCATACAAACGGTCATTGTTCATGATCTCTATATCTCAACAAATTTATATGTATAGTATGTATCAAATTAACTCATAACGATGAGAATATAGAGTATATTGAGAATTCTAAGTCTGAACTTATTCTGATAGATATTCGTGAAAATTACCAAATGTCGACTGTAATTATTGTAAAATATATTTTCTTTGGAGTTACTCGGTCTCTACTTGTTTATATATTTTTAAAACCTACTGTTCAATTACTTATCATGAATATTCAGCTCTGTAAATACTTAAATTAGTGAATTTATATGACTTTGTTGAGATATAGAGGTCATGAACAATGATCGTTTGTATGGAAAACACGGGTGGCCAGCTCGCTTACATGGCCAACTCGCTTACCGATTACGTTTAACGTAATCGGTAAGCGTAAGCAATCCGCCCACCTCTCCCCGAAAACGCGTTCTGTATCGATCTTCTACCTTCAACGCGACGTTATGGCACCAACACGCAAGAGGGATCCCTTGAAATCAGCTCAGATAGAGGGAAAGATCCAATTAGCCATTTTTGATTTAAAAAATAGAAGAATTTCCAATATTCGTGAAGCTACAAGGATTTATGCAATCCCTCGTACAACTCTCCGAGACCGACTAAAAGGAGTACAGTATCAACGTGCAACACGCGCCAACGGTCATAAATTGACTCAATCTGAAGAGGAATCGCTTGTTAAATGGACCTTGGATCTAGATAAACGTGGATTACCTCCTCGACACTCTCTTGTACGAGAGATGGCTAATTATCTTCTTTCACAACGCGGAAATCAACAGGTTGGAGAGAAATGGGTATATAATCTCATTCAACATCGCCCAGAGATTAAATCACATTTCTCACGGAAATATAACTACGAGCGTGCCAAATGCAAAGATCTGAAGATAATCTAAGAGTATTTTGATCATGTACGAGAGATTAAATCAGAGTACGAGATCTTATTAGAAGACATCTACAATTTTGATGAGACTAGTTTTGCTAGGGACTTTGCATAACTACCGAGGTTATTACTGGAAGCGATCAATACAATCGCCCAAATCTATTACAGCCTGGTGACCGAGAATGGGTGACTGCAATCGAAGCAGTCAATTCAACTGGATGGGCCTTCATACGTTATCTTCAAGGCAAAGAAGTATACTCGATTAGGCTGGTTTGAGGATCTTCCAGATGACTGAAGAATCAATACAAGTGATAATGGATGGACAACGGATAAGATTGGATTAAAATGGCTTGAAACCCATTTTATTCCTCTTACTAATGGTCGTACGATGGGAAAATATCGAATGTTGATTCTCGACGGCCATAGAAGTCATTTAACTCCTCAATTTAACTGTACATGTGCTACGAATAATATTTTTTTCAGTCTATATGCCTTCTTATTCCTTACATCTTTTACAGTCTCTTGATGTTGGCTGTATTGCTGTTTTAAAGCAACATTATAGACGGCTTGTTGAACAGCGAATGAGGCTTGGATTCAGTCACATTGATAAAATCAGCTTTCTCACTGCATTTCCAACAGCCCGTACAATGACATACAAAGCTCAAACTATTCGGAATAGCTTCGCAGCAACTGGAGTAGTACCATTCAATCCAGATCGAGTTTATCAACAGCTTACTGTTCGATTGAAGACTCCAACACCTCCTCCAAGTCGATCAAGTGATACACAGTCATCTTGCTTACAGACACCTCAGAATCCATGTCAATTCAAGCGCCAAATGACTACAATTAAGAAGCGAATAAGCCGGATACAAGAAGTTCATCTGAGGCCATTGATGAGTGTTTAAACGGGCGTCAAAGGCTTATGAGATGAGTATTAATAAGCTTGCAATTGCACAGAAGGAACTCCATGATCTACGGGCTGCACATGAGAAGGAGAAGCAAAAACGTCAAAGGTCTAAGCAGCAAATATCTCATGAGCAGGGAATTACCAGAGAGGAAGCTCAAGCACTCGTACAAGGTCAGATTGAAGCATCTCAAGCTGTTACTACTGCTCCGGCCGAGCCTGAGCTCCCAGTCTCCCATCCACCTGTACGACGTCAATTTCGCTGCAGTGGCTGTGGCATTGAAGGACATAAATAACCGGATGTCCTAATCGTACTAGTAATTAATTTTTTGTATATAATTTGTATGTGGGTTAGAAATCGAGATCGAGGTCAATATTGTGTACGCGTTTGGGAAAAAGTGCCGGTTCCCTTGTTGATTACGTTAGCTGGTTATTGTCAGATAGTCCGGATTTCAAACGAGGCAGAGAGATCCGACGTTCGATCTTACAGGTCTAAAAGGCACCTTAGGACATAAATCTGGGCACCTAGATTTCAGCCCAATGTTCACCCCTTATGATAGCTCACAAATCACCCCGCCAAAGATGTTTATAAAAACCCTGTTTTGAAACCTGATGAATAGGGAGAGACAGAGAACTCAACACATACAATCTTGCTAGTCACTTCTTTTTCCCATCCTTGTAACTACTATTCAGGATTGGCCTGAAGTTAACCCAGCAACCTGACAGTTGTTAGAGAATCTACCTGTTGGAATACAACTTGGCCCTCCGCGAGCTACTTCCGGCTAACGTGCTTGATCTAGTGGTTTATAACCGACCCTGTATCTAATATACCCGGCATTACATGCAGTGCAGGTAGCCATCATAGTACAATGACAAATAATCCTCACACCTCTGGTCTCACTTCCTTTTTCGCAAGCGGAAATGGTTTGATAGAGTTTACTGCTGGGGTTTGCAAGTTCCGCGACAGAAACAACGCGTGCAATGATGCTTAATGGTTCAGCCATGGCTGAGATGCCTTGAAGAAGGTATCTTGGAATAAGGGTTTAGACAATTTTAAGATAGATGAAAGTGGGAAAGTATCGTTGAGAAATGCTCAACTTTGCTGACTTGTCAAGTGGGGTATAGATTTGCAAATAATCAAGAACATATTCAAACTCCGTCGAATCGGATGTGAAGCCTGCCGTTCCTGTTCCTAGTTTCATACGGCGTAGACGTGTTCATATTTCTCTTGGCCCTGATGATTATCGACTTCTCGAGAGTCTCCCTCAACTAACGAGACCCGTGCAGGAGTTGTGCCTTATGCAACATTCAGAATCGAGTATGTCGTTCATCATAGCCTGGTCTGGATTCAATCCCCGTATGAACTATGAGCGTATGCGTTTCGGCATGAGCATCTTGGCCTGTCATCTGCACAGCGGATATATTTTCTAGTCCGTCTCATCGAGGGTCAAAGTGGCTGTATTTGCTTTTTTTGGGGAACTTGGGCCCGTTTAGATTCGGCCCAGGTGGAGAAACTCGGCATGCACGGTAACACTACTAATGAGAGCCTTTCTGGTTAATCTATATCACATAATTTCGCCGCACTATTTATATAAGAAGAAAGCTCACGTCGAATGGGTGTCGACCGACTGGGTGCGTGTATTTCAATCTCCGCCTGCAGCCATCCATTGCAATCCGACGCATGGTAACTTAAAGTTTATCGCGACGTTCTTTGCTCTCTTCATGTCCTTCCCCGTCTTTTCCCCTTCCGTCTCTTGTTTCTCGTCTCTTCTAGCCGTATTTGAATACATCGAGAGCCTCGAAATTGTCGTATCACCAGATCATTGAAGAATCCAAGCCCGGGCCGAGCGGGTTGCACCCATCCGCTTTGAGTAACAGCGATTTAGATCGATGATATGCACAATTCTTCAGGACCACATCCACGTAGTAGACCATGGAATCTCTTCGGTCGATTTCAAACTAAGAAGTGCTAGAAAATTATTGACTGCGAGGATCACAGGTTGTCCAGAGCTCAACCGTAGTGGCAACCCCTTTCTGCTCCAATCCTGCAAGAGAGAGAGAACTGCAGGGTCTAAACCAACCTGCAGATGCAGGCAGAACTTCTATTGGAGATGCATTCACGGCCCGTCATTTTTCTCCTGCAACTCTAGTGTGGCTTTGTGATACTAGTATCTATATTGAGTAAATCCCGGTGATGTAGGGTCACTTTGTTCTCTTTCCCCGAACCATCAATTGGCAAGTGACGTTGGCCACAACGGAAAAGACAAAGGAAGGAGGATTAACCAGCGTTCCAGTCCTCGGTTACTCCGACCTTTTCGGCTCATATGTATTCGTACTCGTCTGAGGAGTAATCAGGTTATTTTGTGGTAAAAAAAAAGAACGTGCGGATATCGAATCAACGTGCCGGGTTGGCGACGAACACGTCAAGTTCGAGGCGTTTTCTCCTCTTGGTGACGATTATCGAAGCCGGTCTATGAAATAGAAGCTAGAATACTTCTCATTGATGTAATACGTGCTCCATGAAGATCCATATATGCAATATAATTAGGTTCTTTTGTTTGTTCGACCGTCGTTGTTTCCGGCTGTCAACATCGAGTGTTCACGGGCACTTTCTTTCGATCGAGGTCTATATCGAGCTCCAACTGACGTGTCCTGTGCAGTATGATCAATCCATAATTAGCAATGCACCAAAATTACGTACCTAGCTGAATGGAGAGGAGCTAGTGTAGAAAAACCCGTAGAGCAGCAAGCGTTGATTCGACGCGAAAATAGACATAACAGCAAAGACGATGAGAGGAAAGAGGAAAGAGGAAAAGAGATAGGCGTTGGTTGATGGCGAGGATGGAGAGGGAAAGAGACAAGTGCATACGACAGCAACGAAACTGGATGAATCGAGGCAGTTGTAGGCCACAGTCTGCATCGATTTTACCAAGAAGAAAAAGAGATTCTCGTCTCTAGTTTTCATTCCATTCTCTACCTAAAGCGCGCTAATTTGACATTGTTGTCACAGTCAAGTCTTAATCGTCAATGAGTGCATGCAAATAGTAACATAGGAAAAATTAAAACAAAGATATCGTAGCGTCCTCCGTAGAGAGGACGCTTACACCATCCCCTTTTTCACATCCACCCATTATTGCATCCTTGATTGAATGCCATCGCTTGTAAACCCACACCTAAGCATGCGCCACCTGTGTATCTGATCGCCGTAAGAATCGTGATTCATTTCGCCATGCGTGCAATGAGTTGCCTCCCCAACCTTCTGCTTTCCCTCTTTTCGTGACTCTTTTTTGTGCTGAATCGATAGCGTCTTTGCTATCTGATAGAAAAGGACATGTCGACGAAGAGAAAAAGCAATGATAAAGAAACACCAGAATGCAATAGAAAGAAGAAAACCAATGATATGTATGAAGAAGAAGAAAATATCAAAGAAGAGATCGTGAGAAGCTCATCAGTATTGACCTGGCCTTTGTCGTACATGGAGACCATTTGGAAATCGATCTTTTTGTCTTCAATGAAGTGATAGACCATGCCGCCGATCTGAGAGATGATTGGAGTCGATTGGAGAAGTCATTCAGTACATGCTAGAGGAATGAGAGATGTCTTCTTGCATTGCAAGACTTTGGTGAGTGTGGCTTAACTAGACATTCTCTGCTCTAGATCCTCAAAGGATCTCGTATCAAGACCAACATTCTGAGCGGATATTTACAATTCAGCTGGACAAATTAGTCAGAAATGCAATGTATAATAATAATTGAAACAATCAAGACTACTCACAAGAGTCATCTGTCATGATAGAAATGCATGCTTGCATTGCGTGGTACGACCGGCGGCTTCTAATCAACCAGTTGCCTACACAGGTTAGCAAATTCATGGTCATAGTGTTCTTCATTTGAGTATACTCACGGAAGAGCAGGATATCATAGGGATAAGCTTGAGCTCCAGCGATGACAATTCTCAGCTCATCCAACTTCATGTTTGGATGCTTGTCGAGAAGATCATAAAAGGTCATCTGGGTACGCTGACGCCATTCATCGCTGCGATTGTCTACTCTCATGAAGTTGTAGTATTCAGCAATGAGCTTCCTGCAATGTTGGTTAGACTCGATCTTCAAGCTGTCTTCGAGTAGTACTTACGTGAGGAAGTATTCACGTAGGCCAGCTCGAAAAACATAATGATAGCCAAAGCGCTTTGTAAGCTCCATGAGTTTCTGTTGGCCAATGCGTTCATAAACCAGCATTTTGTTGTGGGCTTTGAGGTTTGTTTCTGGATCCAAGCGTCCCTCAAAGTCTGGAGGTAAACAACTGAACAACTCGAAGGGATGAGCTTCAAAGTCAGAAATGGCTGGCACAATGAAAAACTCATCGACAACATTCTCAATCTGCTTTCCCCAGAGCTTGACGAGAGATGAAGACTCAGGGCTTGAGGTCATGATAGAAGGTTTAGGGAGAAGCAACTCTTCTTTACACATAGAAGTAACCTGTGCCATAAGACGGTAGGGATTGCGATGTTGTCCATAGAAATTCAGAATGTAGTAAGCCTGATAGCGACGCGACGGAGGATTAGATGGGTTCTGGTGCATGGCACCGAGCCACATAAGCAACTTCTCGATGTTTCTGTCCATCTTAAGTAGCAGGCTTTTGCGAGATGAGAAGGTATTTTTGATGATATAAACAGTTCAGTGCTTTATGTACGAGAATGAGATTGGAGGGAGAGAGAGATTGGCAGGTAGAATAGAATGGAAGAGATGGAGAGAGTGAAATGGATGAAGGAAAGGGGAGTTGATGAAGGAGAGATGCGTAGGGAAGATAAGCCTAGGGACAGATAAGTGGGTGGCTGGGAGGAGAATAAATAAAAGAGGGCTGGTATTTGTTAGCACGGGTTCGTTGGAGAGGAGGCGTTGACATGCAAGCGTTTGATCAACAAAGAAACCCACCGCCCCTCCGGATTTTAACTACCATTCCCCGGCCTCCACCGTCCTGTCAAATCCTCTGCTTAAATTGAATCCTTGTCCGTCTTTGATAATTTTATCTCAACGTTTATCTCCTTGTCATTTGCAATAATCATTTTATGACCTCTGAATTCCTTCATCTTACCTTGCGGACCGCGAGAATTCAGCTGACAACAGCACCATTCCCTTAGTACACACAAACCTTCATACTTGTCAACATGGAATCTTTCATTCCCTTTGGAACTGACCCTGAGATGGCTACTAGAGTGGCAGACCTCATTTGGGACCAAGCTGTTATGAATTTTGGTCTCACTGATAACGAGATTCTCCTGCCCCTGAACATCACAGGCATCATTGGGCCCTTGGCCATTGAGCGACTCAAGTTGCAACTGACGTGAGACTATCCGCCTAACCATTTGAGCATATGAGCTAATATTTTTTTTTTAGAAACTTCCTGAGTCGCCCTTGCACTGCTTTTGCGGATAACGCTTTGGGTTGCGTTCGAATTCTCGCTAGTCCTGAGTTCAAGGGGCTGGGACCAGCTACCGACAATATGGTTTTACCTCGAGTCTCAGCTGAAGGAGGCTTTTCCCTCGATGTCTGTTCTATCAAATCTCTACAAAAGGCGGACAAGAAGGTCGAAAAGCGCCTCAAAATTCCAAGACCACCTAATGCGTTCATTCTCTATCGGAAGCATTATCACGCCATACTCAAAGAACAAAATCCGGATATGCATAACAACGAAATCTGTAAGAAACTTTCGAACATTCATCAAAGTATCTAACTAACAAGCTCCAGCAATTGCAGTCGGCATAAAATGGAACAATGAATCCTCTGAGGTCAAGGCACACTACAAGGCACTCGCTGATGAAGCTAAACGCCAACATGCTCAGAAGTATCCAAACTATCAGTATGCTCCTCGAAAGCATTGTGAGAAGAAAAGACGAAACTCCAGGAGGACAGCTGAGAACTTCGTCGATTACGAAACCTTTTCCGATGACGAAGAGGAGAGCTCTCTTCAGACCTCATACGAATCGCCTGCTGATTCTAGTACTTATTCTGCATTCAGTGGACAAGATCAAGATGATTTCGCTGAACAGACAGTGGAAGATCAGACAATGGACGATTACATGACTTTGTCTCCAATATTCTCTCCGTTGAACGAATCTTACCATTTCTCGGACTACGATATTGGTGATTACAATAGCTGGGTCCGGGATGCTGCTATGGCACAGAGATTGACAATTATTGCTCATACGCATGCTGAGAATGGCTCTTTCAGTCAACTGTTTCCTCCCTCCCATGGCTGAAACGGATTTTCATAAGTCACTGAAAATGTCAAAACCTTGAATTGGAATACCGATGCTCAGCACGTCACCATCTTTCTGGAGTTCCCAATATCATCACAAGTCAGGCGTCTCTTCAGGAGCAAGGTGGGCATAGATCATACAGCAAACGGCGTCCAGTCGTCTTTGGTTCCAATATACTCAACGATACTTTATTGTCCCATTCGCTCATTTGTTTTTGACACTACGCAGACTTCAAATCAAATCCGAGGTTCACTTTCAACACTCAGTAGAACATCCGGAAAACCTCGCAAAAAAACTAAAAACCAACAAAACCCTCACAAAAAAAAAACTCGAAAAACAACAAAAGACCAGCACCAAAAAAAGCTTCCAATGCATGATCCAACTCGACTTTTCTTTTCCCATTGTTTCAAACTCAAATACATTTCCATTCCGATCCAAGTGCACAAATGCATCCAACCGCAAGTCGGAAAGAGAAGAAAACCACTTGACAAAAGTTCTGGGTACTCAACATGCATTTCATTCACTCTTCGCTTTTTATTTCCTTTGCTGACTCAAGTTTCTTCGTTCGATTCGATTCGTTATGTTATGCTATGTTATGCCGTTATGTCTTTTCTAATGATTTCAACCCCCTAATACGCTCCTTTTGCCGGGCACAACTTTTTCTTTTCTTATGAACTTACGATTTCCTTTTTCTCTATGATGATAGTTACGAGCCTAAATCATTCCTTATGACAATTGAACGGGAGAAGGATGATACTTGCTACGATGGCGATGAGAAAACTGTGATTTGGAGATGTGGGAGATGAAGATACGGGGGTGAGCGAGTTGACTGATGGAAGGAAGGAAGGGAGAGAGATATGGAGGAGAGATTTGCTCTTTAGGAGATAATTTTCTTTTTCTTACGAGACTTGATGGAAATGATTGCAATGGAAGAGAAATGCTTACGGCTTATGTGCCTATGTCTAATGAACGGTGGAGGATTCCAAAAAAGGACAGATTGCTTGGGGGAGATAGGTAGTTTAGATGGAGACAGTGAAATGGAATGTTAAATTTAGAAAATTACCGGGTTTATCCCTTCTGTTCCTATGTAGATGTTGTAACTATACAGATATATGGGATGCCTGAGAAATAAGGTGTATACTCGACGGATGGACTTAGTCATTTCGAGCTCGCAGGCTCCTCCTCTAAGAGTGTTGTCCACGAGAGTTTCGCACCCTGTATACCAATCCTTCAAGTTATGTAGAGCTCCTGAAAAAACAGAATTTATTGAAATTCAGGGCGTTGGAAGGAAAACTTTGATGGCCCACTGAGATAAAAAATGGCTTGGATGACAGTGTCACGAACCCATATATAAGACATCTTGAAACAAGACGTGAGGAATTTTCTCTAATCCTGCAGGCTAGGACCCCACGGGGATGACCAGACAGCTTCACCATTTTTGCTGAGGGATCCATGAAGCTGATAACGTCATTTCATCTTAGGGTGGTTGGGAGGAGGAGGAAGAAGTCTCTGAGACTGATTGCCATGACGAACGAGCAGGCAGCAACGAATGTGTTGTTAGGAGACTAAAAATCTGAAGGCTATTGTCTAGACAATTGCCCTGTTGCCCTGGAAAAATCTGTTGCCGAGAGATAGAAGAGGCTGGCCAGGCAACAGAAACATGAGAAAGTCAGGTAGTCACCATCTCGAATTCGTTTGTTGAGGAGTGAAAAATTTTCTCATTCATTGCCCAGGTGACGAAGATGACATTCAATAGAAAAGAAGAGGCTGGTCTGCTTCGAGGTGGCCAGGGAAAGTCGACGAAAGTTGAGGCGCATAGGCTGGAAGAGATATCTAATATCTTAGAGGCTATCACCATATCGATCGCCTAATACCAGCCTCCAGACTAAAGTTTTGCCATTCCCTGCCACCGCGACAAAGACGCTCAATGGACATGAGAAAAAGCGTGATGTCACGCGTCAGAGAGCTTCTAGACTGAGAGAGCCCCTATTGGCATTGGCCCTACTCATCTGTCTGCCAATAAGAATATAGAGATACAGACTTATAATATTCAATATTAAGGTCCTTGAGATGTGCTATATGTCTGTAATATCGCGATGGCTGCAGTACAGTCCTTCAGTTCCAACCCATGCTTCATGTAGATTATTCCTGTCCTTTCCAATCACTCGCTCAGATGAATGCCTTGTATCGTCATTACATTCCCTTGTGCTTCTGACCAGTCGGATCTAGAGGTCGTGAGCACATCCAGAAAGCTTGACCACAATTGACACCTGGTTTCTTCGTCGTGAGCATGATACAAGGTTCCTGGTATTCTTCGCATTTCGGTGTTGCTTTCTTGGCGAACAGCTTTGACCATGATTCCTTACTGACTATTGGATCAATCACAGTCTCGTCCGTGGATTCTGTCGTCGAGCCGCCGTCTTGTACGGTTGTCCGAGAAGTTGGAATAGGTTTCTGTGGCGAAGATGATACTGGTGGTATAGACTTTGTAGGACTGGTTTTGAAAGCGTCATCCAATCCACGATTACTGATTTCTTGCGTATTGTTTGTATCTTGGCTATTGTTCTGTTGGTCCTCTTTTCGTTCCAGGCAAAAGTAATAAAATCATGCGAATAGACAATAGTAATGCATCCAATAACGTTTGAGCCCCTGGGTTGTATCAATAGATGAGTGACGAGTATATTTGTCAATGTGAAAGCATTGTAATGATACCCCCGAGCTCCTATACTTGTTCGATAAGTCAGAATTGATAAATCGTTTCCAATTTTTGCTAAAACTATGCCAAGTTGAGGTAGTTCTTACTGTATCTCTGTAGAGCCGACTATGCAGAGTATTAAATGGTAACAGAGACAATGCCGGAGCTCACGTACAAGAAACTGTAGACTATTCCTCCCCCTCCTCTTCCTGCTCTGGCTCCTCCGGACAGCAACACCAACAAAGCCGTGTTGGCTTGACGCCATTCCCTAGGCAGCATATCTCAAAAGCATGCTCCCTGCATGGAATACTTTTTTAGCGTTTATTGATAAACCAGGAATGTGGTGGGTATGTGTAGGATGTGTATGTGCAGAATAGTCAGTGACCAGTTGAAGTTGTCATTTGTCAAATTGAACTCCTCAGAGATGTACGAGATCACGATGTAAGGACACGGGAGACTTATCGACACTCCTTCAGTGAGACATCCTCACCAGTTTCCTGGCCGAAATGGGTTGCAACCCTCTTCCAATTCTGACGATTATCAATCTGGACGAGTGATCTGTTTAAATCTCGCATCTCCTTTTCCAAGGCTCGATCATCGCTCCTTCATTCATTTACATACTCCGGGTTCTTGCATTCGACCATGGATAAAAAGCGAGTCTTGCGTTCAGCCAGCGACTCTGCTTTGGTTGTGTTCATGGTGGACCACGATGAGAAATGAAGAACTGGTATCGACGAGTGAGGATAGAGTAAGTCTTTTGGTTGTTGGAGGTGAAGTATCAACGAGGTAATCTTTTTGGTTGTTATAAGGACTTTCACTGAGAAGTGAAAAGACATTAGGAAGCTAGATGGTTTTAACAGGGCGTAGTAGGTGGGCGAGTTTGCTTAAATATTCTTGCCCAAGCAAGCTAGGCCCAAAATATGATCATTAGAGAAGATAATGGTGCCCTGCCACACAAATTTTGCTCCTAGATTTTACTCACTTGTGGCTCTTTGGTCAGGGATTGGGTTTTTCACTCGCATATTCGACTATCAACACATAGAATCAATGGGCTGTCTAGGTATGAACAGCAGAGAAATCAACTGAATTCTGTAAGCCATCACTGTATCTCAAAACCAGACCATGTCAAGTCCAAAGTGGGACATCTATTACAAGACCAGTCATGTTCCCCGGGACAGAAAATACAAGGCACTGAAGCGCAATGACGGGATACTGTGCGTCAAGTAAGTCTTCATTCAAATCTTTATATGGATATTTTAGTTTATCCTTAATCTTATTCGAACTGCAGAAATGGAAGATTGCGTTTCCGCCGTGACGAGTCTGAATCATCAGATACGGACGACGATGACTTGGGATCGTTTGAAGAATGCCCAGATCTGCTTAAAAGTGGTGTCAACCTGAACGTACAGCGTCTAAAGACATCACGCCTAGAAGGCCGTCGTCTCTTCACCGATATATTGGACTCCCAGCAATTTGCAAATGAATCACTAGAACCTGTGCAATGCTAAGTCAATGGTCTTTGAGTATTTACCCACTCCATCTGGAAGGGCTTTCTTATGTCGTTGTTTGGCAATAGCAAGTCTCACTGCGGTTGATTTAGCCTGGTATGATTGCTTTTCTGGTTCAAATACCTCTCTTGTTGATCTTGAGCGGCCATTTTTGCTTTCAGTCTTAATGCAGAATCCATATGTGCTGGGACCCAAAGTAAGCTGACCACATTTTCCCTTCCCCGAAGAAGCTGGACCATCGTATATATCTGTTGAATCACACTTTGGCCAGACTGTTGACGCTGTTGTCCAATGGCACCTAATGTTGATCGATTGCTGCTGAGGATGGTCACTTGCTTATTGAAGACCCATGGCGGGATACGTTTTAATCCTGCGGCTATCGCTTCCAGCTCAGCTGTGTATGGGTTCTGTTCTGTTTGCCTTGATAGCGTCGTAGTGTAGCTAGTCAGTACATCATCGGCACTGTTGACCTGGGTATCCTTAATGCTGTCTCCCATGCCTACCATGTCACCCTTGGAGGACGAGCTAGTAGCAATTAGAATACTTTCTGCACTGTTGGCGATTCCCATGGCTTTCTCTCCATCATATTCATCTCTCATCTGCAGTCGATCTGTCCAAGGTGATACCGCGTACGCGTTGATGGTTTCCATTCTATCTGCTACATCTCTTCCTAGTGTCTGCGCTATACTCTGTAGTGGGAAGAACCTCCGAGTTAATGTGACCCTCAGCTCCCTTAGTGGGTTCGTTCCAGGAAGTGCGCAGATATCAGCCCACAACTTTGTTGTTTTCTCTGTGTGTCGTTCTTTGAATGGGAGAATATTTGCCTCAGCTTCTACGACTGCCGTCACAACTGTCCGGAAGGCTCCTGTGACTGCTATACCCCCTATCTTCAGCACTCTGTCTAGGCACCATGTTCCATGTTCTATATGTCTTGCAGGCATGCATCCACAAACTAGAGGCGTAGTTTATTGTAGGTGTCACTGTTGCTGTGAATAGCTGCCTTGCAGTTTGTGGGCAGAGTGCCTTCGGCCTTCTTAGTGCCATAGCGGCCTTTAGCCCTCTAGTTGCTGCTCGAGCAATGTGTTGTTTGTAGCGTATTTGAGAGTCCATAACTACCGCAAGAATCTTGGCATACTCTTTTAGTTCAACTAACTCTTCTTTGACTGTGAATGCAGCTCTGCTTGACCGATCAACTTTTCGAGTGAAATGTACAATAGCTGTCTTTTCGCCTTCGAATGTAGCTCCACTACGCTCCTCCCAGTTGAGAGCGCTGTTAATTATGACCTCAATGCCAGATCGATTTGCCTCAGCAGTTGGGTCTGTTACCCAGGCTAAAAAGTCATCCAGAAAGGTGATTGAGCCTCCTGAAGCACTGATCATGTGCTGCACTAGATCCGCATTGAAGAACAGAAACAGTATTGGAGATAGTGGCAACCCTTGCAGTAATCCTGCTTGTAGTAGTTATTGTTGTTCACTCTTTAGCCCGTTGACCACAATTGTTGCTGTTCGGTTGGAGCAAAAAGCATCAATCCACCGAACTATATACTCTGGTATCCCTCTTGCCCTGAGCCTCTGAAGTAGCCTGTCCTTGTAGACTTCATTGTATGCGCCTTTGACATCGAAACTGACCATACTAAGCACTCTTTTGTTCCTCAAGCCTTGTAAATCTCTTCCTGGAGTACTAGTAAAGCTTGTTCTGCTGAGAGCCTCTTTCTCGCTCCAAAATGGTTTGTGGGCAACAGGCCGAAAGCTTCGACAGCGTATCATATCCTCTCTGCGACAACCGCTTCAAGTATTTTACCTAGTGTTGAGAGCAACGATATAGACCTCCATGATTTGGCTAACGCGTAGTTATCCTTCCCTGGCTTTTTGAGCGGTATGGTCTTAGCGTTCCTCCATTGAGAAGGGATTTCGCCATCTTTGAAGTGATGTTTGAAAGATGAGGAACACCCTATTCTTGACCACTGGCCAGAGCTGCTTCCATACTATTGCTGGCAGGCCGTCTTCTCCGGGTGCTTTCCATGGTTTGGCTTCGAATACTTTCCGCTCAATCTCCTCCATAGTCAGGTCTGGCATGTGTATCGGTTCTCTTTGTTGTTGAAATCCCTCATCTTCAATCCTCGCTGGTAGAGGTGGGAAGAACGTGGTAAGCAGCTCTTCAACCTGTTCCATTTTGTCTTTAGTAGTAAACCCATCTGACCGCATAAATGGTGGTATTTTATCGCTGAATGAGCCCCCACTGGGCTTTAGATACTTAGTTACCTGCCATATATTAGTATCATTAGCAAGGAAGTCTTCCCAGTGTGCCCTCTTCTGTTTCCGGATTGCGTCATGGTATTCCTTTGCTGCGCTTTTGGCCTGTCATTCAAGCTCAGGATTTGCGTTTCCTCTTCTGCGTTGAGATCTAGCCTGATTTCTCCAGTAGGTATGTATACGGCGAAGTTGTGTCAGATCCGTTGTCCACCACCGCTTGGCGTACGGTGAGGACTTTGCTTTCGGTGTTAGTTCTAGGACTACTTTCATGACCACTGTCATAAGACGGTCCGTCTGCTCTTGTACAGAGCCACTTAGAGGAACCACCTGTAGATTGATGGCTACTCTGGATCTGATCTCAGCTCAAGGCGCATTTTTCAGGAGCAGTCTCTCATTGACTGCTCGATCTAGAACTGATATGTCAAACTCCGTCTCAATTGTTTGATGGTCTGATCCATGGTTTGTATAGTGTATGCCACACTGTACCATCTCCTCTGCTAGCTCTATTGATGCTAGTACTAAGTCAATTGTTGTCTCCCTGTCCCCTAATTGCCATGTTTTGCCTCTAGGTAGGAGGCTGTGTAGAGAGTTTCCGCTCATATAATCAACCAGATCATCGGCCTCTCCCTGTCTCGCAGAAGATATCTGATCTCCTCCCCAGAGTTGGTCATGCTTGTTGAAGTCTCCTATTATCAACACATCTGTCCGTGTTCCTTCCCTACCCCGGATATCCGTTACTAGGCTGCGTAGCAACCTAATAGTGGATGTCAATGCTTCCTCACTGTTCCACTCTATATAGACCGACACTACTAGCACTGCCCGGTCTGGGAGTTGTCGTATCGTGGCTGTTAGATCTGGAGATGCTACCGGGATCTGTTCAGCCTCAATATCACTCTGAACCCATAGCATGCTCCTAATCGGCCATCTTCCATTGTGTCTCTCTGTAGGTATCATCTTTTTCCAGTAACAGTGTCCCATCGGGCTTGTCACCACGGTATTTTCGATTACCCGCGTGTATGGTTCGGATACTGCCACCACTCCGTAGTCTCTAATTTTGTCATCATTCATTAGGCTTTGTTGTACTGCGTCTCGTTTACCAACATTCAGTTGTGGATGCGAAGTGATTTATGCATTAGACTGTAAGAGGCGAACTCGACAGTTTCTGCTAAATGATTCGTGAGGTCCTCCACAAGCAATGCATTTTAGGACTAGAGCCTGGCAAGTACTGTGATGGTGTCCCTCCTTTGCACATTTACCACATGTCTAAGTCTTTTTGCATGAGAAAGCCTTATGTCCTATTTCTTGACAGTTGTAACATTGAAATGGTCCTATGCGTGGTTCAAAGGCTCGAGTGTATGCAGATTCTCCTGCTATATCGAAGTAGCTGCCTTCTAGTAGGCGTTTGGCGTCTGTTCCTTTAGTGGTATATACCACCATAGATCCATACGCTTTATTAGAATCCCTCTTGCTAAGCCAGGTGATCTTGGCAATGTTGACGTTGTTCTCTTTCCCTAGGGCCTCGGCTGCTCCTGGTAGGACATTACCATCCATACCCAGGATTGCTGTCCGATTGGCATTGTCGATTTTAACTGGATAGAGCTGGTCTCGTAACACCCTCCATCCCGGTATATTTAACTTTTGGGCAGCCTCTTTGACACGTAGGATCTCATCCTCCCGTCTGCAAATGATTTTGACTCGTTCAGCGTTCTTTGGATACTTAATCACTGCTGCACAGCGCCAGGTCTCCATTCCTTCATTTCCCTGTATCTCTTTTTCGATCATTTGTCTGACGTTAGCTATCTGCGCCTTGGCTTTGTCTTCTTCTCTGACACGAGACGTGTCAATTGTGCAAAATAGTGTATTAGCCAATGTAGGAGGCACTAGAGGCCTAGGGGGCCTAGGTGTGTACCCTGCTGGTGAGCAGATTGGCTGTTGGTTATATCTGCGAACGACGGCTGTGATTTGATCTGCATAGGAGCTGCGTTGATTGGCGCCTTCGCGATAGAATCCAGCTGCTCCCGGAGTTGCTTGCAATCTTCCGCAGATTGGCTTTGGATGCTTCTATTTGGGTCTGCAGTCCCTTGATCATGTCGTTTTGTTCTTGGATAAATTTTTCCTGTTTACTAAGCGTTTCTTTCAAACTTTTGACCTCCTGATAGGTGCCCTCCAAGTCCAAGTGATCAATCGGTCTCATATGGTTCCTGGCACCCGTCGCTCTAATCCTCATCTTGGCGTTAATCAAATCTCTATAGCCGCTCTCCGCACAACAAGAGAATGAAGACAAAGATCTCGATGTCAAACTAACAACTCTACGGGAAGTCTACCAAAGATTTCAGACCCTAACGACGTCCACCGTGAACAACTATGAGCCTGCATTACCAACCATGCTGCGAAATTAAAGATCACTTTCTCTGCGTCTCGCTCCTGGAGATGTCACCGAGGTAATTAGCAATTGTGGTTCACAATTGGGTGAAAGTGAGACTCGTAATCTGACTCCTGAGCAAGTGATAGGAAGACATCGATACGGTGTAATACTGTAGAGAATGAGGATTAGAGACCATTGGCAATTGGATTTTCGATCAATCAGGGTACCAGATAGCGTGCATAATACTCATGTAAACCAATATGGCTGGTGAGTACAGGCTCGCGGAGGTTCCTTGCTCCTAGTTCTCTATCAATCCCATTCCCACGCCGAATATGTCTAATTATTGGTCAATCACAACTTTCTCGATTTACAAGTATCTTCAGCCATACAATCGGTTCGCAGTTGCAAATAAAAAGTGGTCTCAACAAGCCGATATCATGTCAAAGGTTGCTGCCGTCCGTCAAGTTGTTTTGCGGCAGAGGGTCAAGCAGCCGCTAAAATTCCATCGACTCTCTAACCACAGGATCATTTTTACCCAAGCCATTGGCGACCAGGATCCCGTTGGCTGTGAGCATTGCCAGGATTATAGCGGGCCCTTTTACAAGTTTTGGAACAATCACACTCGATGAGAAAACTTTTCTAGGGGCTAGCTGGACTGTCTATCACATGTATTGTAGGCGGAATCTGTGCTGTAATAGTTTCTTACAATTTTGTAGCTATAGAGTGAATCGCACATGAAGTACTTATATTGACTATCCATCACAGTGAAAACTTCTCCAGCTGCGAGTAATGAATGGAAACTGTCCCAGTCCGGAAACGCCCCATATGGAATGACAAAATGAAACTCGTCCCACTAGAGAGTTTGTTAATGGGTTGTCCGCGGGAAAACTCCTGACCTACCATTATCGACTTACAATGATGAGCATGAGTCATCGGCAGTCAGTCATGTTGTTGATGTGATTAGGGTGACGCGCTCCGCGCTCTTTTTCCTTGCTGCCGTAGATATGTGTCGAAGCAGCGGCTACCTATCAGATAATCTGGATGTCCGGAAACGGTAAAACGAGGTGAACAATCAGAAGCTCTATCTTATAGCCCCTAAATTTACCCCTCATGATGACTCACAATTCATCCCGCCAAGACATCTATAAAACCCGGCTTTGGAACATGATGTATCAGAAGACAGACCTCAGACAACTAAATACATACAATCTTGCTAGTCACTTCTTCTTTTCCCAATCCTTGTAAGCTACTATTCAGGATTGGCCTGAAGTAAACGCAGCAATCCGACACTATCAACGTGCATAGAATGTCGCTGGCTATAGAGACGACAGCATCTATATACTTGATACGTACCTTAGATCATTGGCACCAACACAACGCGGTCCTTGATTGGTTGCAGCGCAGATTCACTCATTATATGATTCATCTTCTCAGAACACTTATCTCGAGGCTTCGAACCACAAATGATAATATTTGTTCCTCAGCTTGAGCTTGACAACAAGCACAGCACAGCTCGTTCGAATGCAAAAGATGCAAACACGAAAATGAGCATGGGAGAATATAACATGTGACAGGGCAAGTGAGAGTCGGGCAATCTGAGAGAGATCGAAGATATCAAGGCACTGATGTTTGTTTTCAACACTAGCCTCCTCTCTCACTTCTTCCTTCTTCCTCTCACCTCCCTTCCAAACATCACCACAACTTCGCGTGAGTTCATCCAATTCCATCCCATTTCTGATTCGAATCATTATCTCTCTTCAAGATCACCACTGATATTAGGCTATAGCTTCACCCCGCCAATTGTCTGCCTGAGGCTTATAACCCGTCATCAGCTTTGGGAACAGTTTTTATTTCACCTACTTCCCTTCCACCGCTCAAACTTTTCTTGCTCTCACACATCCCCCTGACTTATCTTCGACCATCATATTCAGCTAAAAGTTCGAGAATAATCTCTTCGCACCCTTTACTTCTCTCTCCAAATGCCACATCTCAAGCGTCGTGTAAGACACGAGTCGCGTCCCAGCAGCGTGGAGTTTACCCTTGCAGAAGACGATCCCACAACGATGAGTACCATATCGACGGCTATCTTCTCAGAAATTTCTGAAAGTGAATCTCATACCACTGCCAATACTGCCGTTTCATTCTACTCGAGCGATGAGTATGACAGCGATGACGGTGATGACGAGTACGATGAGTATGACAGCAATGACCGTGATGACGAGTACGATGAAAATGACAGTGTCCCTGATGATACTTCTGACTACTCCGAAGGTAGCCATGATGATAATGAAAACGTGAATTCTACCGATAGCCAGAATGTTACTGGATATGATACTTTCGACATTTCAACTAGAGAGCCAGGCTCTGAGCAAAGCAGCACCATCGTAGAAGCAAATGCTTCCGCTGAGAAGACAGAGCCCACTAGCCATAGGCATACCTTTACTCAGACAGCATCGGGGGATTTTTCTACTAAGGATGAGGTTGCGCATTTTCCAAAAAACCATTCGAGTGACAGCTGCGTTCACGGAGGATCGACTTTACCCGAATTGGACATGTCATCTGGACATGTGACAGGAGTGACGGCGGAAGTGACAGTATTAATCCGCGATAAAAAATCTTATTACAACATTAAGTGTTCGGTGCGATATGCAACTCCGCGATCTCGGGTTCGGGACAAATTTTCCATTGACATATCGCCTGTTCAGAGGGGAAACGGAACCAAAGCGAAAGTATCTATCTGCCATGACCCATAGAGCCGTTAATGCCAAAAGTTGTATTTAACATTACCACTTCATTACCACGCATATGGTAGTCTTACAAAATCCACGTTTATTTTCTGTTAGTTGTTAGACCTTATAACTATCTTTAACCAGGCTCCGGAAAGAGGATTACCCAGAACTAGATATTCAACAACGCACATATATTAAGAGATTCTACCTCACAAGTATGCTAACTACACACTATCACTAGTGAGGATCCTAAAGGAGGGGAATGTACAGAGCTAATTTTATCCCTCATACTTGCTGGTCTAGGAGCGGATCCACCTCCTATCAGCCTGTGATAACAATAACACAACCAGTCGGGAACTCTAGTGTGATGGTGACCAAGCCAAAAGAATCACATTAAACTATTAGATCTGATGACCTTTTTGATGAGCCACTTCCTCATGTACCCTGCACCCAACTCTCTGAGCACACGATTGGTAGCGCAGTGATGAATAGTGCTTCTACAAACTTTGTTGAGCATGCTTCCACAAACAACAGTCATTGATAAGTTCCCAGGAGCCAATAGCTTCAAAAAGAGTTCGCCGCGAAGAGCCCAAGGTGGGGGAGCTAGTAGAGACTGATACTTGGCCTCAAGCGGAACTCCCTCTGCCATCGGCAGAAGAATAGATACCTGTGGCCCACCTGCAACAAGAACTCAACAGGGCATCCCAAGAAGGACAAGGTTCAAGCGCCGATTCATCCGCAAATAGGATCTCAACCCGCTTAGCTAGCAAACTACGACGCGGCTTGGGCCATCAAGCCGAAGCCGAAGCTTGGACGATGATTCCAGTAGCTTTACACGCTTCCCTGTCTACGAACCAAATGAATCAAAGGACTTCAAAAAAGCTCAACAAGACCTTAATTGGGAAATATGAAAAGCAGGCCTTGGCTCAGAACACCAGTCTCTAGTGGAAAACAAGACCTGGATTCTAGCTCTGAAAATGGACAACATGCATGTTCTTCGAGGAAAACGGGGGGTTTAGACTGAAACGGGACCAGACGGGGAAATCGTGTGCTACAAGCTACGCTGGATGGTGAGAGGTTTTGAACAGATAGAAGGACTTGATTGCTCCAAAACATTTGCTTCGGTGGTAGAGCCAATGAGCTATAAGGCGCGATTCGCTATTACAACAGCTAAGGGCCTTGAAATTGAATAAATGGATATCATAAGGGCCTTCTTATACGGAGAAATAGATGGAAAAGTCTACGTCGAGCAACCCCATGGCTGTGAAGACGGTACTGATCGGGTCTGTGAACTACAAAAGGCATTATACAGCCTAAAACAGCCGCCCCGAATTTGCAAACTTCCTAGAAGGTTTAAGCTTCCCTTCTAATGCGTTCAGACCTCTCAGTCTTTACTAAAGGAGATATGAAATATTTATCTCGCTGTTTATGTGGACGGCTTGCATATGGTTGTCCCAAGATGACAGAGATCACAGAGATCAAAAAGGCCCTGGCTAGACGATTCAAAATAACTGACATTAGTAACTAAGCCGCTGAAAAACTTGGAAATGGCTTCTTACTCGATAAATTTTCAACCTCGGGACTCCATACAGTGGCATATTCCTGTATATGCGGTTCTTTTATTCCATAGATCTGTAGTGCTGGACAAATAAGAGCCCATTGTATACATTAGAAATCTCTGGATTGATTTAGGTAGGTCTGTTTCGGTCACTGACATTGTAAATTTTGTAATGCATATGAATCCTAATTGAGGACTCCAATATGCTATCCGGATGATTGATCTGACTACAAATGGTGACTGCTGGTTGGCTGGAATACTACAGTTCTTTTAAACCCGTGTGTTTCAGCATCGGGATCAATACCCAGCCACATTTTGGAGTCCTCGCTGTCTTGGGCCATCAGTTAGTTTCCTATAGCGGTCTTCACTATCTGCCTATTTTCCGGTTTTTCCTATACTACATCGGCAAATTATCGGCAAGGTTTTGTTGGATAGAGATGAGTGCAGCCTTCAATGCTTCAGAATATCCATTAAAGATTCGACGCTGCTCGATAGCGCCACAACAGACCATATAACGAACGACCGGAGGAGCTTGGTAAACTATCGACGAGCTCCTAAAGGAGATTTTGTATGGGCCGGGAACACGTAAGTGGTAGTTCTGGGGTACGGTGATCGAATCGTAAACGTGCAGGGATATAAGAGGCGTGAGGAAACTTTGCTCCTACAAGATGTGCTATATTGCAAAAGGAATGGCCACAAATCCTGTGTCAGTAAAGAGACTCAGAGAGTAAGGAATTTGGTGGGATATGAAGAGAGAACCGACATGTCTACGACGTATGGATGACTCCCTAGTGGCGTACGTCTCTGTCCTATACAGACAATACGTCCTAGAGTATATTCCCATGGAAAATGATGCGTTCAAGATGTCGTTCCACTCCTCAAGGCATAAGCATAATACCTGGAGCGGCAAGCGAGGAAGTTTGGCAGATTCGCTCCGGTGGCATTTACGACTTGGACATCCAGGGCCTCAGGCAATCAATCATTTGGTGCTCAACGGGGTACGACTAAGAGGACCTCTTACCCAGAAATGCGAAGCATGCGCCCAAGTGAAAGCAAAAGGAATTATACAACGATTCTCTCGTGATATAATTAAAGCAGCAGGTGCACAATTATCAGTTGATTTTCACGATTATGAGGAGAGTTCAATCGACAATTTAAAAACCCTCATGTTGGTGACATCCGATATACAGGATTACTATGGGATTATTACCTTCCAAATCATCAAGATGGGACCATTCTCACCGCATTCAAGCACTTGTTTGGGATGCTGGAAGTGCAATATCAGATTTATCCTAAGAAGCTGGAATGCGACAATGAGATCCTAATGCGACTGGAGACCTGTGATTGGTTAACAGAAGAAAATATGTCAAAGTTGAGTCTTCACCTCCCTACACTCAAGCACTCAATGGCAGCGGAGATCGCTCAGGGGGTGTAATAAAGACTAAAGCACGGTCGGTGAGGATCTCGTCAAAGTTACCTCAAGATCTCGCTCCAGAAATCATTCGCGCGGCTGTATATTTGCACAATCGGACGCCACGGTACAACTATGACTGGAAATCATACGAGAGATTTTACCAATTCATTGTCCACAAGGATGGAGAACCTCGAGTCTCTTTCAAGCCTTAATTAGCTCACTTGCAAGTATATGGGTGCAAAGCGTATTCTTTGACAACTGAGTATATGAAACATGAGAATAAGCTGCAGAGATTCAATCCAAGGGCATGGATAGGTTATCTCGTAGGATATGACTCCACGAACGTATATCGGGTCTGGAATCCGGTGTTAAATAAAATCGTGAAAACGAGGGATGTCACATTCAATGAGGATGAGACGTTTGACGGAAACCTGGATCGATTGCGAGACGACCTACGAACTGTCAATTTGGAAGAACTAGCCAAGTTATTGCAAGATGTTGATGTCAGTGAGGAGGAGGTTATAAGGAGCAGACCAGAGGCCAGAGACCTCCTTTCGACAGTGGTAAATGAGCTCATCAATGTTCGGAATATCCTCACGCAAGACGAGGCACTAGGACGAGTGCCGAATCGGGGCTTTGGAAGGGTTATGACAACCTACGGGGCGCAGGAAGTTGATAAAGAGGAAGCAACGGCGCACTGGCAAGGTTATCTAACCCCTCCACCGACTCCACCTGCAGCACTGCTTGCAGCCTCAATTCAGAGACCAATCGACGAGGCTCCAATGCCAATCAAGGAGTATGAATCTTTTGCACCTTGGAAGGCGACCTTTATCGCCGGTTCACGATATAAGCCAATTGGAACGTTTGAGGGCAAAACGCTAGAGAGGGAAAGAATATTGAGGAATCAATCGGTCAACAGAATACAGGACAAGAAAGAAAGTGATCGCTCCAAGCTCCAAAAGCTGATCAAACAAGAACAGTTACATAAGATTCACCGACGAGACCTACCTGACCCACCAAAATGGCATCGAGACTTGGAGACTCATCCTCTAGGTGAGCAATTTGCTCAAGCGGAGAGAGCTCATTTACAGAGCCATATACCAATGAACTCATGGACCACAACTGACCGATCTATTGCCAAAGGCTCTCAGATCCTTGATTGTATGTGGGTTTATGTGTATAAATTTAACAAGCACGGATATCTGGTCAAGTGCAAAGCACGTCTGGTTGTCAGGGGTGATCAGGAGAGAAGAGTGAATCTTGAGAATACGTACGTGGCAACTTTAGCTGCTCGATCATTTCGAACCTTTATGGCAGTTGCTGCCAGATTCGACCTGGGGATCAAGCAATATGACGCAGTAAATGCCTTTGTGCATGCATTACTGGATTAGAAAGTATTCATGAGAATGCCGCCAGGACATAGGGAGAGAGGCAAGATTTATCAACTGAACAAAGCTTATATGGTTTGAGAACTTCCCCCTTATTATGGCAAAAGGAACTGACCACAGCACCTACCGAACTTGGGTTCCGGAGCGTTCCTCATGAACCATGTTGCATGATCAAGAATGGCATACTAATCTTTTTCTATGTTGATGATATTGTTCTTGCATATCGAAAGAATCAAGAACAGGAAGCCTAGCAGGCTATGGTTTCACTCCAATCCAAATATACCATCACTGGAGGGGGAGATTTAGAGTGGCTCCTAGGGATCCAAATCATAAGAAATCATCAGCAGAGATTGATATGGCTCAGCTAAGTGTCATATATTGATAAAATTGCCAACTTGGCCGACAAGCGAGGGACATAACACACTCCAATGGAGAAGAGAGAGCTTTTCCCATACCAATAACTTGCATCAAAATCCTCAATCCACAAGTTCCAGAGAAAAGTGGGTTCTCTTATGTGCGCTGCAGTAAGCACAAGAGTCGATATAGCATTTGCGGTATCCCGACTTTCAAGATTCTTGACAAATCCCGGTCCTGAGCAGCATGAGGCCGCGGATCGAGTATTATGCTATCTTTAACAATATCGATCTCGAGCGCTGCAACTGGGGGGTGCAGATATGTTTGGAGTAGCGAGTGATGCATCCTTTGGCGATAATACTCTTGACCGGAAGAGTTCTCAAGCATATGTGATGTATCTATTTGGAGGAGTAATTGGATGGCAGGCCAACAAGCAACGTACTAAGCAACGTACAGTTACTACGTCAACTACCGAAGCAGAGCTGTTAGCTCTCTCTCAGGCCGTGAAGGAAGGGAAATCTGTGATGAGGTTATTGAAGGAAATCGGGATCCGGTTCGACGAGGACAAACTGACGGTTGAGTGTGATAATACTCAGACGATACGACTAGTCAACGAAGAAGCCTTCAAGCTGCAAACCAATCTTCGCCATGTCAATAATCGTAAACACTGGTTGAGGCAGGAAGTCAGAGAAAGACGACTTAGTGTGCAATATATTCCGACAAAAGAGATGATTGCAAATGGGCTCACCAAGGCTCTGGGAAGAGGTGAATTTGTCCGATATAGCTGAAATTATCGAGGGACCCGAGAAAGAGCTCCAAATCGATGATTATACAGCTATATTAGGGATGAATTGATGGAGAAGTAAGGAAGCGGTTGAGCAAGGATTTCTCTTGAAGTTATTATCAGAAAGCATCGTCATCTTTCCTGTGGTGCAGATGAGGGGGTGTGTTGGATTAGCTAAGCTGATCCAGCCAATAATAGCGAGCCACACACTTTAGAGAAGGATCCACCGAATAGGGGCTAAAAGAAAGTCTCCCACCTTTACGTACTTAGAGAAGAACAAGGACAAAAAGAGTCAAGGATTCCATACTCTTGCATACATAATTTGATACATTGAGATATACCGCTTGAGATTGTTGCGTACAATCTAACACGATCCGTCCACCTCTCCCCGAAAACGCGTTCTATATTGATTTCAAATCTCAATTCCTAACCCACAACCAAATTATATCCAAAAACTAAATTACTAGTACGATTAGGACATCCGGTTATTTCATGTCCTTCAACATCACAACCACTGCAGCGGAATTGACGTCGTACAGGTGGACGAGAGACTGGAAGCTCAGGCTCGGCCGGAGCAGTAGTAACAGCTCGAGATACCTCAATCTAACCTTGTACAAGAGCCTGGGCTTCTTCTCTAGTAATTCCTTGCTCATGAGATATTTGCTGCTGAGAATTTTGGCGTTTTCGTTTCTCTTTTTCATGTGCAGCCCGTAAATCCTGGTTTCCTTTCTATACAATCACGAGATCATTCATAGTCCTTTCATAAGCCTTTGACATCCGCATAATTGCTTGATCAATCATTTCATTTAGGCTCCCCATACGCTAACCTATATGCCTCTTGATTGTAGTTGATTTACATGTAAATCAATGTATATTTTGAGGTGTTTGTGGGCAAGATGACTGCGTATTGCTTGATCGACTTGGAGAGGGTGTTGGGATCTTCAATCGAACAGTAAGCTGTTGATAAACTCGATCTGGATTGAATGGTACTACTCCAGTTGCTGCGAAGCTATTCCGAATAGTTTGAGCTTTGTATGTCATTGTACGGGCTGTTGGAAATGCAGTGAGAAAGCTGATTTTATCAATGTGACTGAATCCAAGCCTCATTCGCTGTTCAACAAGCCGTCTATAATGTTGCTTTAAAACAGCAATACAGCCAACATCAAGAGACTGTAAAAGATGTAAGGAATAAGAAGGCATATAGACTGAAAAAATATTATTCGTAGCACATGTACAGTTAAATTGAGGAGTTAAATGACTTCTATGGCCGTCGAGAATCAACATTCGATATTTTCCCATCGTACGACCATTAGTAAGAGGAATAAAATGGGTTTCAAGCCATTTTAATCCAATCTTATCCGTTGTCCATCCAAATGCGAAGATCCGAAGATAATCTAAGAGTATTTTGATCATGTACGAGAGATTAAATCAGAGTACGAGATCTTATTAGAAGACATCTACAATTTTGATGAGACTAGTTTTGCTAGGGACTTTGCATAACTACCGAGGTTATTACTGGAAGCGATCAATACAATCGCCCAAATCTATTACAGCCTGGTGACCGAGAATGGGTGACTGCAATCGAAGCAGTCAATTCAACTGGATGGGCCTTCATACGTTATCTTCAAGGCAAAGAAGTATACTCGATTAGGCTGGTTTGAGGATCTTCCAGATGACTGAAGAATCAATATAAGTGATAATGGCACGCTCGTACTTATATTTCCGTAAGAAACGTGATTTAATCTCTGGGCGACGTTGAATGAGATTATATACCCATTTCTCTCCAACCTGTTGATTTCCGCGCTGTAAAAGAAGAGAATTAGCCACCTCTTGTTCAAGAGAGTATCGAGGAGGTAATCCACGTTTATCTAGATCTAAGATCAATTTAACAAGCGATTCCTCCTCCGATTCGGTCAATTTATGACACTGTTGGCGCGTGTTGTACGTTGGTATTGTACTCTCTTTAGTCGGTCTCGGAGAGCTATACGAGGGATTGCATAAATCCTTGCAGCCTCACAAATATTGGAAATTCTTCCATTTTTCAGATCGGAAATAGTAATTGAATCTTTTCCTCTATCTGGGCTGATTTCAAGGATCTCTCTTGCGAATTGGTGGCATAATGTCGCGTTGAAGTTATAAGATCAATATAGAACGCGTTTTCGGGGAGAGGTGAGTGGATCGTTTACATGGGTGGGTCGCTTACCGATTACGTTAGTTACTATGATAGTTTTGCAAGAATTTCCTCATTTTCAGAGAATTTGTCAACTACTACGATAATCACATTCCTACCATCGCTATCAGTGCTATTGCTTTTCAATTCATAACGGTTCGTTGAAATAAATATGGAGACACGTCGGAAAAGAATAAATTATCGAATCCTTGATGATGGCAGTGATGAAGAGGTCGTCTTAGAAGACTGTATTCTGAATGACGACCTTCTTGCATTTGATTCTTTTCTTCTAAATCCACCATTCGATGTGCGAGCAAATTTCTATCACTCAGAACTGTCTATTTCTTCCTCAATTACTCCTAGTGAGTCTATATCGCAAAAGCAATCTTCTTTGCATTCCGACAATAACTTCTCAAGATCCTCAGCCAAGGAAAAGGAGATGTTTGGAGCAAAGTTCTTGGCTATGGAATATGTTTAAGATTATTCCCTAACAAGGTAACACCTTTATTGATCCACGGACCAACAAAGCAAAGAAAAAAAAGAGATACACTGTCAATACCTTGGCTGTGATTGGAGAGTTCTAGAGTCAAGAAGAGGAGAATCAACTAATAACTTGGCTTTGCATCTAAGCTCAAAGCACAATATTACTCAAGATAATCATAATGGCCAGTTGTTACACCAACAATCAACTATTCTGTCTTTTGTTTAACCCAGAAAGGCCCTGATTATGTCGCCTCAGGATATACAACAAAAGCTTCGAGACAACGTCTGTCGATGGGCAGTTAGTATAATATAGCCCTTTGTAGCTGTTGAAACTGCTTCAATCCAGAAAATCTTTGAAGATATTCCAGGTATTGACCAACCTTTCCAGTCTGCAAGTACCTATAAATACTACATTTAGATGGAATTTATCAAGTATAGGAGCAATGTTAAGCAAGAACTAGCTGAAACATGCCAAAGTATTGCTCTTTCTCTGAATGTTTAAACAAGTAAAAACCAGTTTTCTATAATTGCAGTTATTGGACACTGGTTAACAAGCAATTTTGAGTACAAGGAGTGGGTTCTAGAATTTTCGGAAATTCAAGGAGATCATACTGGAGAGAACCTTGCTGAGAGTATTGAGAATATGCTTGTGGAGCTAAGTCTTGAATCCAAACTCTTGACTATTACAGCTAATAATGCAAGCAATAACGAGGCTCTTTGTGATCATCTATATAGAAATCTTTCCAAGAGATTAGATCCAGATCTTAACAACACGGAGATCCAACGCTCGACCCTACTATTCCATGGGATTAATAGTTTTGTTTGATATCTTGCACATTTTCTGAATCTCATTGAGAAGCAGTTTCTTTCAGTTTTGAAAACTGGGGATATAGAGTCTGCAGGTGAGGTGTGTGAGAAGCTTTATAATGGGAAGGGTATTCCAGAACTAAGCGCTCTTGCGAGACTTCGAGTTCTTGTTTTATGATTAGATCAATCACCTTCACGTCGACAACAACGGAAGAACTCTTGTCGAGATGCTGGTCTTCCGGAACAATACATCAATTATGATGTAGAATTCAGTATTTCAAATGCTGGATCAGAGTCTCCAATAAAAACGACAAATTTTAGATATCTTAATGTTTATCCAGTTCTTCCTTAGTTCTCTATACAGGACTAGAGACGACTTCAGTGGATATACAAAGCCCTACAATGATTTGATGAATTTACCGGACTTATATCAACGCAAAGCCCACAAATCAGCTTGTCTTTGGCAGTTTACTATGAACTCTCTGATCTTTTATAAGAGATCAGAGATAGTGAGAATGACTTTCAAAATCTTTGACCTTGATATTTCGGGAGCAGCAGCATCGGCTATTGAGAAATATCGGAAGTATTACTCTTTCATGGACGATTCTAATACATATTATGCAGCTGAAGTTCTGGATCCTCAAGTTAAAACCCGACTCTTAAAACATCAACTTCCAAATTCAGATGCAAGGACCCTTATTCAAAGACTTCGAGAAGCTCTTCACCAGCAATATCCTGTAAACCCTGGCATAGCACTTTCTATCTTACCAGAAAAGCTCTCAGGGCCACAATCACTAAAATCCCAGATATTTTCTTAGCTACAGCCTCAAAAAGCTCAAATATCTACGTCAGATATTGACTGGTACTTTGATACCCCCACAGTTCTAATATCACAGGTATTAGAAAGCAACAAGAGGAATTGGCTGCTTTCTTGGTGGAATACTCACAAGGACGAATTTCCACGCATGGCACAAATTGCGTGTGACTTTCTAGCAATTTCTGGACTAGAGGTTTCTGTAGAACGTTTATTTTCTAGAGGGAGAGATTTATTGGGATTAAGATGGCACAGGATGAATGGAAAAACTATGAGAATGTTGATGTTGCTAAGGGATTACTATTTGTCCTATACATAAACTTTCTATGTCTTACTATCTGCCAGTTATGCAGTAACTGCACCTACGGATGCTAACTTAACTTAACTTAACTGCAGCTATATTTTCTAACTGTAACTGTAACTTATCTGCATAACTGCGCCGATCTCTATATTTTATGTTATGGGCTGACACCATATGGGAGGTTCGGGACAGCGCCCTCACTAACACCGCTCATGAAGCTATCTTCTGATCTACGGAGTAATCCTAGTTGGTCAATACTTACCCTCCTGGAGTTATTATTCGGAGTATCTGTTTTGATCCTAATTGGCAATACTTAGCCTTCTGGAAACTGGAGTTATTGTTCGGTGTATCTATTTTGCATATCAGGACTACAAATGAATCTCTAGAGAAACAGCACGACTCTCTATTTCTATATTGGTGGTATGCGCAACAAAGAATTTGCATGTTTTTCTCTTTTTCCTTCACATGTACGTTGTCATCTTAGGAATGAACTCATAGTGTTTCATATGACGGGACTGGCCGGTAACATTTTACTATATAGATGTGCCTACACTTCGCTTTTGTGCTATGTTGTGATACTTGATGGTTCAGTTGTCGCTTGCCCAACTCACTACCTAACGTTCCGAGTGTATATCTCCTGTTATTCATAGGATTTTGATTGAGTGACAAGTCTCAGAAACTACTGTCTGCCATTTTTAGCTGTGAATTTGTCTTCCTGAGGCTTCCTATCAATTCCTGACTCAGTTGGTTCAAAAGGCCTGTGCGCTGCTGCATATAAACTTGACTAAAACATAAGCATATGTTGACAACTAGTGGTCAGTTTGTTTACATATGCATGATGTTACAAGGATCCTAATTCGCGGCATGCTGCAGATTTCATTCATATGTCACGGGGGTAATATGCGCTCAGTTTTACCAGCTAGTTTTAGCCTTGTCGAATGACGATATAAGATATCCCACTGACTGAGCTGCTGCGTACCAGCGTTTGCACATGCCTTAGGGCACCACTGTAGCCTCTCCATATCTGTAATTTAGTAGTTTTATTATTATCTAGACATTTCATGATATCTCTAGCCTCGGCCGCGATCGTCAATCTAAATACGTACACTAGAACTCGTTAGATATCAATATAATCAAAACTGCTATGATGATTCCAGTGCAATTCCCACATATGCTGCAATACCTAGAAAGAGGCTACCATTACAATATGCTTGTCAGATTAATCTGACAGATAGTATCTCCCAGTAATCAGATTCCATGGCAATGAGCATCAATGAAATGCAGAATACCAGACCTAGTTAATATACTGTGACAGAAATGATTCTGAAGGAGTAGAGAATCATCCGTGGATATGCGGTAGTAGCATAAATTGGAATCTTACCTAGATAAACCATGCGCGAGGGGTCGTACAAGACACATCTTGAAGACATATATAACTGCCCAGGTGGTCATGATGAAAGACATGAATGTGGATATTCGACATCTGGACTCTCTAGGTACATAAGTAATATTTCATTAGGCAGCTGCGATGATATAACTAAATGCACCGGAAATGAATCAAACTAGCTACCTAGGCAGAGAGCCCTGTGCATATGTGAACACATCCTTGGAATCTGACACATGGGTACTGCAGTAAACTACAGTTGAGAGTTAACACTTTAAGGATGGTGGCATTTTAAGCGTCAAGTCGTAGTCATTCTTAAAGTCAAGCATCCCAAGCTCTCGTTTGAAAGAAGTGATTACTGACTTCATTTCAGCCCTGATGCCGGCATCTATGGTGTCGAGTTTCCTTGATCTCTCCCCTGGAGCCGTTTCGTGAGACGTCGATTGAAGACTTTTAGTACGAGAGGTAACGAAATCTATGGTCCCATTTTTATATCAGCATTTTGGACATTCTCTTCCCACGTTGAGTAATATAACTCACCTGGACCATCGCCACAAATTTGGACCTGAATTAAGCGCGTGCGGTTACCTTGCAAACACAAATTGACCATTGCTTGCCAACTGGTATCACTCCATGGGACATTGATCCAGTTCTCGTTCCAGAAAAAATGCATAGTACACGAGCTCGAGAGACCCTCAAAGTCCACGCCCCAGTGTTTCCCTAATTTCTTTTGCCACGCTTTATATGAGATACGCAATTCCACTGGTTCACATGAATTTTTGGGATCCAAGATGGCATCAATCAATACCATGGCGGCATTGTAACTAGTTGAAGGTTCATGTATAGGGCCAAGAAATGGAATTCTGGTTGTCTGAATTACAGTCGCCCGTATAGTATTCACGTCCGTCTCCGATGTAGTCTCACCCTGATCGACGGTAATCTCCATCGCTTCTTCTTCTTCTTCTGGTTGTTCTTTTGATACTTCTTCTTGCCTCTCACTGTGTCCGTATATGTACGTCCCTATAATTTCGACCGACCCAAAACCGTTGTCCCCAGTGGAAGAAGTATCCTGGTCTAGCACAGTATCTTTGGACTGATTGTCGCGGCTCCTCTGTCTTTCCTCGGTAGATGGGTTGATTGCGAATCCCAACTCACTCTGCCGTTCCACCATTGCGCTTGGCTCTACCACTTTCTGCGCCTTTTGTTTTCGTTGATGTTTCTGCTCCGACTTCAACATGTCCTGCTGTTTGTTATTTTCTCTGTCGATTCGAGTCTTTCGAAGTCCCTTCTGGCGTTTGTTAAGTTCGAGTATGGTCTTTTTCTGTGGTAGGGAGTTCTGTAAGGGTGTTTTAAACTCAACCCTAACCCTGAAAAACAGCTCTGGATATCTTTTTTTGAAGGCGGGAAAGATATTGTCCTCACGCCATGTTTGAAACTGTTTTTCATTACCGCGTTGGAGAACATTTTGCTGTGTAGACTTTTGAGAGAGTTCCTTGATCAACTGACCCGTCTTTTGAAACTTTGCCTTATCGTTTTCAAGCCCGAGTGCTTCCTGGGTCCCACTCATCCTTGGATTAATCTTTTTTTTATTGCCGTTTTGAGACATTTTGTGCCAAAGCATCTAACTTTGTACACTGATGAATGTCACAAGCCAGCCAAGAAAGTGCTTGCAAAGCTCTGTTTGACGTGAGTATTATTAATAGGGTTTGTAGAAATCAGATCGAGTACAAAAGGCCAGGATAATCACCAATATTAGCGAAATAGGGAGTGGCTTACCAGAATTGTTATGACAAGTATTGCAGACTCTCACCAAGGTGCGAAGGTGGAAAGTGCCTGAATGGACTATCCATCAGGGAACAAAAATCTGCTGCATACGAGCTGTCAGCGTGCTACACCCGTGGATCTCCCTCCGGCGCGGATCAACTATAATCCGAGAGTCATGTGACCTCCGTAAAGGGGTCAGCGCAGCTGTAGTTAGCTTAGATAACCAATAACAACAACTAGCACATTAACAGGTCATGAGCCCTCGCATATTCAATCTGAACTTTATCGATGCTTTTATTGTGATTACCTGGACCTGACTTACTTTCTAATTCCAATCCAGGCACAAGATGGCCATATACGACCGCACCAGTCAAGGATCGCGACAAATCAACTCAGAGAGTCACCTACAACAAACGTCAAAATGTCGGTCAAGAAGCCACCAAGATCTACGTTGGAAATCCAGAACTTTACGATCGACTGTTTCTTCGACATCAGGCCTCACCGTCTCACCGACTCATCGACTGTCTGAAGGACTTCTAGGCTTAAATACAGCTCCTAGGAGCACCCAGACTCGATTCTGATTCTTGATTACAAGCTCCTCTATTCTATCAAAAAAAAAAAAAAAAAAAAAAAAAAAAAAAAAAGTCTTCCTCTAACAATTTTACCTCTGGTGAAAGCTCCCAATCCTCGACTACTCCAATTGGGTTGATTGGAGTGAATACTGGCAAGATCATCTCATCCTTTACGACCTATGGCAATACGTCGATCCAACATCTACAGCGACAGTGCCACCTCCTACGACTAATGTTAACCGAGATATTGCTAAAACATTGACCGAAAACATTACCAAAATCCGGCAACATGTGTCCCCTGAATGTCGCAAGCTCCTAGTTGGCCATACAAACCCAAGAGACCTCTGGTCCTCACTCAAGGCCGGCTGCGATCGAGGGACAACTCTCCCATTAATTGACCAATATGAATTGTTCCACAGCAATAAGTGGGAGCCAAAGGACACTATTTCTACCTACACAAGTCGTTTCCGCAATATCTTCCTTTCCTTGGAAAACACCTCTTCCAAAATCCATCGAGATATAGCTGTTCATCTCCTCGTGGATCGACTCCCTGACTGTTACAAAACCGAAGGTCAAACGGCAAAACAATTGAACCTTCCCTTCATTGAAACAGTGACCTACCTGCTTGCCAATATCAAAGATTCCTCGTCTGAAGGGGACAACACATCTGGCCAAGCCCTAGTAACTCGAGGCCGTCGTCCGAACCGCAGAACAAGCTCTCGGAACCTCCGTAATGGAGGCAATAACTCAAATTCAAACCGTCGTGAACAATCAAATCGAAATTCTCGGAATAAGTGACTTATCTGTAACTGGTGCAAACGAGAGGGCCATTACGAGCGTGACTGTCATATTCGACAACAGCAACTAGACTCTGGCGCTGCAAAGCTTGACAGAGGTCGTGCCTACTTAGTTCAACAGCCAAGCAGTTTGCAACCTCCGCCTCAGCCCCAGCCTCTACTGGCTCCTCCACCTCCGCAGGCAAATTTCGCCTCCTCCCAGTCTCAAAGCTCTGAGTCAAACGCTTACAGTTATCCCTCTCATCTTCTTACAAGAGCATCCTACATCAATAGTGAGATCCGACAACAAGACTATCTCAGCTGGATACTGGACTCCGGAGCTACACAGCATTTCTGCAATAGCAAATTGGACCTTAAGGACTACAAGCATTTCCTTGAACCTAGAGAGATCTACCTTGGAGATAATACTACGATCTATGCAGAGGGATCTGGTACTCAACATCTTCAAGTTGGGCCTAATATTCTAGTCCTCAACGTCTGGTTCGTACCAAAATTGGCAGAGAACCTGCTGTCCTTGCAGCTCCTTGATCGAGCTGGCTACTCTACTCTCATTGAAAATGGCATTGTCTACATACGGCAGCAAGGCGACTCAAATTCCGCATGGTTTCAACTAGCCAACTCGAAGCATGGAGACCTTTATCGAATGCATATAAGTCCCTCATCTCTAGTGAATGCCCCACGAGCTCTCCGTACAAGAGAATTCAGTACACTCAGGTTATGGCATAATCGCCTAGGCCACCGGAAATTTCGATCAGTGGAAGATCTCATGAACTTATCTGTACCGCGTCAACTACCTACATGCACAGCGTGCCTACAAGGTAAAATGAAGGCAGATTCCACCTTCCTGTGCTTGAACGTTGCAGCAAGTCATTCGACCGCGTGCATGCCGTCCTTATCCCCTTGGACGGTATCTCCCTTGGTGGATCTAAGTATATGTTACTACTGGTCGATGATTACACTCGCTATGCATGGTGTTATTTTGCCTCAAGCAAGAATGTTCCTGCAATAACGCCTCTCCTTCAAGGATTCATAAACCTGGTCCTGACTCAATTTAATGCTGTAATTAAGTCATGGCGAGCAGATGGCGGTACCGGCGAATTCATAAACAGCATGGTCAAGGAAATAAATTGCCAACATGAATACTTCACCAAATTTCCACCTCTGGTGTCAAGCAACAGAATGGTGTACTGGAACGACGAGTTCAGACGATCAAGAATATGGGACGCTCTATAAGAGCTGGTGCTGGTGTCTTAGATGACTACCGACTACAAGCTGAGTCCCTGGCTACCTCGGTATTTCTAACTAACATCCTGCCATCTACTACTCTAGGCAATATATCCCCACACCTTCTTTTATATAAGAAGCAACCACCTCTTACTACCTTGAAACCCTGGGGATGCCTCGTCTGGATACACCTTCGAAAGGAGCACCGCAGCTCGAGCTCTGATCCTCGCTGCAGGCCAGCCATGATGGTAGGCTATATACAAGACTCAAAGTCTATTTATAAATGTCTTGATCTTTATACTTTGCAAACAAGCAATCACTCTGAAATCATGTTTGATGAAGACCTTTTCTCTGGTCCATGGCCTAAACGCCCTGCCGGTTTTATCATGGCCATCTATAGATCACACATAATTTGGGCCAGGAACTATGTATTCCCCTCGACGTCAGTATACATCATTTTTTCGACGCTGGATACATCCGGATCAAGTTCCCGAACAATATTGAATAGCCGGTGGCTAAACCATTAGAAAATATCTTATATATGGTAATAGACACTTACCGTGGAATATTATAACCCTGAGCTCGAAAAAATCGGTAGAGATAGCCTCCCTATAACCTTCAATACGCCCACTGGCAAGCTGTTTTCGAACTGCGTCCCTGACAATATTATCTGTGTGTTGAATATCTTCTGGATTGACAACCCGACGCTGAAGCCCAATCCAGCGCCGAAGTGCTGCAAGGGTGGATTTAGATATTTTTATGCCGTCTTTTTCTAGTGCACGTATGATTTTACTGTCACGTAAATCACGTTTAAAATATAATTCCTTGATCTTATCCTCTAACTCCGCAGATCCAAGATCCGTACGTGAAATGCCCCATTGTTTGAGACGCCGTCGAATTGTCATATGGCAGCCTGATAGTTCATGCCCTCGCATTAGATGTTGGTTAGCCATTTAAGGGATTACTGCGTACATGCCACATCTGCCCGAAGTAAATAATTGGAATATATTGATTTGAATTCCAAACCGTGTATGCCGATCTGCTTCTGACATATATGACATGCTATGAGATCTTTCTCAATCGGTTTATTCACAGTAATAAGTCCTAAGCTTTGCTTGTCATTTCTCTTTCCCCGCGTCAGACCTAAATATCTGTAATAGGAGGTTAATCCGATGGTTGGGCAGGAGGAATTATCAATATGGCAGAAGCATTCGGTGTGTTAAAGTCTTCATTAACAATGATACAGTTGCTAACATATAGAGACTGAAGCTTGAAAAGAAGAATCCTAGTCCCAAGGAACCTCCTTCTTATGAATGCTTGAGTCGTTGAAGGAGACCTCACGTTATCCACCTAATCAGTGTGGCTTGTCACAGATATCCCGTTGTACTGTTCCAGTACTGTTACAATATTGCTCATCTCTTAAAATTTCCCCTTGAGTTCACGTCTGCTGAGTTGTACTGACAATATAATGGATAGTTCCAGCCACACATGCAATACAGCTCGCACCTAGACATAGACCTTGAGCTGCTGATGCCGAAGGTGCGTTCACTACCATGACTACATCTCCAACGCAATTGGTACATGCTCCCACGATAGTGAACGCGTGCATAGCGTTCTGGCTATGGGCTTGGGGCATGGCGGCTAATCTGCTGAAGAAATAAATGTTACATATATCAAAAATAGAGAAGACAAACGACATACGATGAATTTGACGATATATCAGAAGGAATAAGTAGAATATAGATATTGGAGAAAGATTGGTAGGAAGGTTATGCGTATGCCCACTGTAGCGGGCGGGGTTTAAATATATGACTTCCTTCCCTAGGCTGATTGTACAATGACCGACTATTGGCCACGACGATTGGTCGAGGATATGCAGAGGTTTGTTCGAAGTCATGCAGGCGATGGCTAATGATTGGCATTGCTCTCGAGAAATTGTAGGCACCCTGGACTGAAACTAGCAAGGCGTTCGGTTGGACTACCGTATTGGTTGTGAGAAAACCCGGGTAAAAAGCTCGGACATCGAGCTGAGTGTGTTCATAGTAGTTGTAGTGATGTGTTTAGAGTTTTAGAGCCCTTTAGCTCTGTGAGGATTCACCCACCATGGATGCTAAATATGCCCGGAACCTGATGCACTTTATTTATTAAGAAGAGGGGGAAGGCCTGTGTCTCCGATTAGCCATCAGGGTTACCATTTCGCGCTTTTGGTCAGTTATTGGAATCCGTATATATAGTGTAGGAGTTTGTGACACAGGCTTGCTAACAAAATTTTATATGTGTGAATGCTTGATTGATTGAACCTGTGTTGTTTCTAACATTGAGAATTGTTCTCTATATTGAAGAATCCAAACCCCTCACTTGAATACGTGTTTCTTGCTGATTGGTAAGCCAGTTGGCGAATTGGAGGCCTTGGGCTTCTCAGCGGATTTCACTAATGATATCTAACACCAGGCTTCCAACATCAGTTTCAAATTGGCGTAAAATGCGATCTTATCATAAATGCAAGTGCCATTTCACCAATAATGTTAGACCTGAGATCAGCCGAAAAGGTCCGTGTGATCAGTGTTATTTTAATTAGTCAATATGGATTCAATCAATATTCCTTAGCATTGTGGAATTGCGACCGCATCAAAATATTTTGACGCTCGTAAACTACCCTACCCACCCTATTATACTTCTTCTCACTGAGAATGTTTTATTTAGAAATATTTATAATTGTGGGTGCGACTTGCACGTGCTTACTTCCTAATTAGGATAATGAACCTAGTAATAAGAAGATCTTGCCATTGTATGTATTTTTTTTTTGAAGCTATTCGACCTCGACGCGGTAGATCATCCCTTCGTGTAGTGTTGGAACTCAGAATGAGCTAAATCAATTTGGGAATAGGACAAGATTTGCGTATCAAGAAATTTCGAGAATTGGCATCACATTCCGACGCGATATTGAACATTACAAATCAACTTTACAGCCTATCTCTAGAAAGTTCAATTTGCACAAGTGTCGACTTTTGGTGATATCACTTCTATGGAATCTTGTATATAAAAACAGGTTCAATACTCCTAGATAGTGGTTTGAGAGGAGTGCCGGAAAATAGACCTAGTTCCTTATAACGTAATTCCCAAGCGAACCGCCCACCCAAGCGACCCGCCCACCTCCCCGAAAAATAACTCTCTATATTGATTTCTCATATTTCAACGCGTCAAAATGCCACCAATTCGCAAGAAAGATCCCTTAAAATCTACTCAGATAGAGGGAAAGATCCAGTTAGCTATTTCTGATTTGAAAAATGGAAGAATTTCCAATATTCGTGAAGCTACAAGGATTTATGATATTCCTCGTACGACTCTCCGAGATCGACTCAAAGGCATTGAATATAAAGGTGAAAAGCGCGCCAACCACCATAAATTGACTCAATCTGAGGAGGATTCACTTGTCAAATGGGTTCTTGATTTAGATCGACGTGGATTACCTCCCCGACATTCTCTTGTACGAGAAATGGTCAATTATCTTCTACAACAACATGGAAAATCACAAGTTGGAAAAAACTGGGTGACCAATCTGATTAAACGCCGTCCGGAGATTGATTCTAAATTCGCAAGGAAATATAACTATGAACGTGCCAAATGTGAAGATCCAAAGATAATTCAAGAACATTTTGACCGCGTACGAGCTGCTATATCTGAGTATGGAATCTTACCAGAAGATATCTATAACTTTGATGAGACTGGCTTTGCTATGGGACTCTGTGCATCTGCGAAGGTTATTACTGGAAGCGATCGATATGCTCAGCCAAAGCTTTTACAGCCTGGAAATCGAGAATGGGTGACTGCAATTGAAGCAACAAATTCAACTGGTTGGGCGTTACCTTCGTACATTATTTTCAAAGCAAAGAAAAACGTACGATTAGGTTGGTTTGAGGATCTTCCAGATGATTGGAGAATCAATATTAGCGATAATGGTTGGACAACAGATCAAATAGGATTAGAATGGCTTAAAACCCATTTTATTCCTAATATTAATGATCGTACAATGGGAAAATACCGAATGTTGATTCTTGATGGCCATGGAAGCCATTTGACTCCAGAATTTGATCGTACATGCACTGAGAATAATATTATTCCAATCTGCATGCCACCTCATTCTTCGCATCTATTACAGCCTCTTGATGTTGGCTGTTTTGCAGTTTTAAAACGGTATTATGGGCAGGTTGTTGAGCAACGAATGAGGCTTGGATTCAATCATATCGACAAAATGGACTTTTTAACAGCATTTCCACAGGCTCGTACAGTGGCATATAAAGCTCAATCTATTCAGAATAGCCTCGCAGCCACTGGATTAGTGCCTTTCAATCCAGATCGAGTTCTTCAATATCTTAATATTCAATTGAAGACTCCAACCCCCCCTCCAAGTCGATCAAGCAATACAGCATCATCCTGCTTACAGACACCTCAAAATATACGCCAATTTGTACGCCAGTCAACTACAATCAATAAACATATAAATGAGCGCACAGGAAATCAGAATCAAGAAATCAATCAGGCAGTTATACGGTTGTCAAAAGCCTACGAAATACTAGCGAATGATACTTTACTCGTACGGAAAGAAAACCATGATTTACGAGCTGCGAATGAAAAAGAGAAGCAAAAACGCCAAAAATCTAATAAACAGATATCTATTGAGCATGGGATTACTAGTGAAGAAGCTCAAGCGCTTGTACAAGGTCAGGTTGAGGCATCTCAAGCTGTTATGGCTGCTCCAGTTGAGCCGGAGCTCCCAGCTTCTCAAGCAGTCGTACGCCGCCAATTTCGCTGCAGTGGTTGTGGTGTTGAAGGACATAAAATTAATCGATGTCCTAATCGTACTACTAATTAATTTTTTGTATATAATTTGTATGTGATTAAGAAATTGTGATTTGAAATCAATATAGAGAGTTATTTTTCGGGGAGGTGGGCGGGTCGCTTGGGTGGGCG